CCTTTCACTACAGTCTCTTTCACAGTCAATTTGCCAGTTGACAGAGGAGGACAGAAGTTGCTGAATGCATTTTTAACTTAATAAAATATGACATTTTTTCATTAATATAAAAAGCAACAGATTAAGTTTAAATTGATCCTACAGCAAATGGCTCAATCCAGCATGAAAGTGCAGTACAACTTTAATTTAGCAACAGGTCGAGAAAAAAATAAAGTGGAAAAAAAAATAGTGTTCAGTAGTCGAAACACACCTCATCTTCACAAGTGATGGGAACATTTTATCACCAACCATCTGCCGTGTTCTTGGTCTCCAACATCTGTTTGACATTCTGCACGTTTCCCACACCAGGAGCAGAACTAGTCAGCAGGGGTCGTCGGTCTATGACGGCGCAAATATATCACTATTTTTCAACTGTAACACTGTACACGGGTCATCAGCTATGAAAAGGCTCTTGGTTCTTGCGGTTGTGGTGGCGGGTGGTAAGAGACTAAATCTGTTTCAATACGTCAACTTGTTCTTGCTTTGTCTGCCTTGTATTTCTTAATTAAATCGACTATTTGGGAATACTCCTGAAATATTTACTAGATACATACATTAAAACGGATGGCATTTGCTTTTTGTGGTGAAAATTAAAAAAATATACATATACTGCTCAAAAAAATAAAGGGAACATTTCACTTTAATTTTGTGTGTGGCTCCAATTCCAGGCCTCCATTGGTTAATAAATTTGATTTCCATTGATGATTTTTGTGTGATTTTGTTGTCACCACATTCAACTTTGTACAGAACAAAGAATTCAATGAGAATATGTCATTCATTCAGATCTAGGATGTGTTATTTGAGTGTTCCCTTTATTTTTTGAGCAGTGTATATCACTAAGTATATCAGATTATATGAGTAGGAAATAGCATCATGTTGTTTCCGATTCAGCGTATGGATGTGGATTCCCCACCTTCCCCCCGCTTCTGAACCGGGTAGTTGCAGGAGAGGGCGTCAGACCCCACAGCTGGCCCTGGCAGGTATCATGTGTTCTGACTCCCCCGGCAGCAGCACGGTCTCACATTACCATGTCAGCTAGTCAAGAAGAACTTGAAATTCCGACTTATATTTATGTGCTTTTTTTTTTTTTT